TTCACCAGCGTCCCATGGATTTCAGCCCTACTGGGGTCACGGGGGTCGATAAGCGGTCGGCGGCTTCTTTGGTGGGGATCTTTCAGACGGGTAATAAAGGGAAGAAGGTCGAGTGGCGTGTTTTTACTGCGGGGAAGAAGAATATTTTGGGTCGTTCAGGGGGCCATGCACCGAGGCATTCCAATCGGTTGTGACGGAGGTTGCTTTTAGCTCTAGGACTGTGACGAGCGACAAGGTTACTCCGAGGTCGGGGGTCACTCCCTAGCGGGGCCCAGTGACGAGGATCTTTGGGGCAGGTTTGCAGACAGATACCACAATGGCCACTCCGACTTTACTACTGGCTACAGTGGTTGTTGTGGCATCCACCTTGGACTCGTCAATGCATCAAGTAGTCCATGTGGTGGATCCCCCGCCGCAACGCAGGACTAGTGAAGAAGTGGAACTTTTGGATCCGGGAGATTCGAGTATGTTAGTGGATTACACGATTGCTGGATGGAGATTGTCAGGTCGAGAGGAGGACCACGTGGAAGTTGGTCCAGACGAAAGCCGCACAGTGACGAGCCGAGATATGGACGTGGACGCCGAGTTAGGGACACAGGTCCCTAGTTCGCTTTGAAGTAGGCGGACAGTTCTTCTTTCTCATTGTGTTGATTAAGAATATAACATCGTGGAATGTAAGGGGGGTTGCGTCTGAGGCTTTCAGACGGGCCTTTATTAATTTAAAGCTACAGTATAATCCTGATGTCTTTGCGTTGGTGGAACCAAGGATTAGTGGGGTGGGTGCAGATAATTTTATTCGTCGGAGTGGTTACGCCCGATCCTTTGGAGTCGAGGCTCGTGGGTTTTTTGGTGGTATCTGGATATTATGGAAGGATGGTGTGGACCTGCAGGTACTGGAATGTAGCAACCAACATGTGCATGCCCGACTCAGTATCGGGTCTCAGTCTTCGGTGGTGTCCTTCATTTATGCTAGCCCGAACTCCCATATCCGCCGCTCTCTTTGAGGTCGGTTGAACGATATGGCTCAGTGGATTACTGGTCCTTGGATCGTTGGGGGGATTTTAATTGCCTTCTTCGTCTTTTTGAGAAGCTAGGAGGATCAGTTAGGAATTGTAATACTAGCATGGTCTTTGCGGATTGGATTTTTAACAATGACCTTCATGAGCTGCGCACGAATGGGGACCAAGCTACGTGGTTTCTGAATGGTCTGGCGGAGAAGCTGGATCAATGGATTGGTAACGAGGCGTGGACAACTATATTTTCAGATAGCATGGTGTTCCATCTCCCGAGGTCTCACTTGGATCATACTCATCTCTTAGTTCGAGCATTTAAAGCGGCCAGACCTAGTGGGTTCAAACCATTCCGGTTTCTTGCTGCCTGGCTTAGTCATGAGGGTTTCTCCGATTTGGTGAAACATGTGTGGTCTAAGGGAGGATCTTACGCTACTTTGGCGGCGGAGTTTACTTCTAAGGCCACGACCTGGAATCATCAGGTGTTTGGCAAAATATTTCAGAAGAAACGATGCCTGTTGGCCCGCATTGGGGGGATCCGACGGAAAGGTGATTACTTGAGAAACCCTTTTCTTCGTCACATGGAACATCAACAGCAAAAGGAGCTGGGCGAGGTGCTTTTATAGGAGGAGTTGTTGTTACTCCAAAAGGCCCAGCGGGATTGGACTTTATTTGGCGACAGGAATACCGCATATTACCACCGACTAATCAAACACAAAAGACGGAAGAGTAAAATCATCGCCTTAATTGACGAGCTTTGTGGATTAATCAATGATCCAGTGACTTTGCAACGCATGTCAGTGGACTTTTTCAAGACTATCTACACTGCTCCAGAGGTTCCACCTATCATGTTTCGTATAAGGGATGTTTTTCCGCCGGTGGATTCCTCCCAGCTTTGTTTGGTTGGGCTTGATATATTAGAGGTGGAAATATTTATGGCTCTTAAGAAAATGGCTCCTCTCAAGGCCCCGGGGTTAGACGGGCTACATGCTCTTTTCTTTCAACAACAATGGCACCAGGTTGGTGAGTCGGTCTGTGCTCTGATCTCTGATGTTTGGCGAGGCGGTAGTCTTCTGCCTTCCTTAAACAAAACTTTGCTGGTGTCGATCCCGAAGGTGTCGAATCCCTTGTCCTTGGAACAACTCCGGCCCATTAGCCTCTTTAATGTGGTCTACAAGCTCCTGACAAAAGTGTTGGTCGAAAGAATGAAGCCCATTCTTCCCTTGATCATCAATCCGGCTCAGACGAGTTTTGTTCTGGGCCGACATGTCTTTGATAACATCGTTATTACCTAGGAACTAATTCATTTGATGCGTGGTATGACAAGGAGGAAGGGTTGTATGGTCGTTAAAGTGGATTTGGAAAAAGCTTATGATTACCTTCGATGGGATTTCATCCGTGAAACATTAGAAATCGTGGGTTTTTTCGAGTGTTTTTGTGGATACTATGATGACGTGTGTTACGTCGGCTTCTATGCAGCTGCAATGGAATGGGGCTACTACTGAGGAATTTATCTCGTCTCGCAGAGTCCGACAAGGCGACCCAATTTCCCCCTATTTATTTGTCTTGTGTATGGAACGATTGGCTCACATGATTGACGGTGCGCTGGCGTGTGGCGACGGAAGCCGATCACGGTGGGGATAGGCCAGGTCGCGGTCCCTTATCTAATGTTTGATGATGATTTACTTTTGTTCATTGAAGAACACCTGGCTCAAGCGGACCTTCTAAAGGCTACTCTTCATAACTTTTGTGAGAGGCCTCGGGCTTGAAGGTTAGTGAGGCAAAGTCACAAGTTTTATTCTCATCCAATATTGGAGAAGCGGGCCGGTCCTCGATGGCTCAGCGGTTGGGCTTTCGGGTTGTCCAGAACCTTGGAAAATATTTGGGAATGCACATAATCCATAGTCGGGTGACCAAGAATACGTATATTGAAATCTTGAAGAAAGCGGAGCAATGGCTGGCCGGATGGAAATCTTTGACACTTTCTATGGCGGGAAAGGTTACCTTTGCTCAAGCGGTTTTGAGTTCTCTACCTTACTTCTCCATGCAAACTGCGTCTTTACCTTATGGGGTTTCTGATAGCTTGGAACGGAAATGTCTGAACTTTATTTGGGGGGGCTCAGACACGTGTCGAAGAGTTAGTCACGTCTCTTGGTCTGTGGTCTGTCGGCCGAAGGAGGAGGGTGGTCTCGGATGAAGGAACAACGTCTCATGAACCGAGCTTTACTTATGAAGTTAGCTTGGAATTTTTTAGCTCATCCGAATTTACTTTGGTGCCGTGTGCTTCGGGCCAAATACAAGTTAGATCCCCAGGTGATGGAGGATGATTTCGATTTTCTTCATGGCTCGACGGTTCTACGGTCCATTCGAGGCGTGTGGAAGGAGACTATTACTGGAAGCCGGTGGTCTGTAGGCAATGGTAACGAAGTCCGATTCTGGTGGGACATGTGCCTAAATTGTTCGGACCCTTTGATAAAGTTTTCCACGGCTCCCGTACCAGAGACTTTGCTGGATGCTACGGTTTCTACGTACGTCTCCCCCGATGGCAGCTGGAATTGGCCGCTCTTTCAGCACCTCTTACCGGTCACGAGCCTGTTATGGATTTATGCCCAGCCGTCGCCAACAGCGCATGGAGGGGAGGATGGAGTTTACTGGGGGCTGTCGGGTAATGGTAGGTTCACTACCAAGTCGGCTTATTCAGCATTGCAGCAGCCCTCGAGTCGGCGTGATGATCGGTTGTGGCGAGCGATTTGGAAGTGGGTGGGCCCACAATGAGTACGAAATTTTATGTGGCTGATTGCTCATGACAGTTTGCTGACAAATGTCGCGCGCCATCGTCAGCATTTGGCGCCAGACCCGATTTGTGCGGTTTGCCAAGAAGACTGTGAGTCCACCATCTATGCTTTACGTGATTGTTCGGCAGCGGCCCAAACTTGGAGATCATTAGTTCCTATATGTCACTGGACTCGTTTCTTTTCCTTGGACCTTAGGGAGTGGCTTTTATTTAATCTTACGGGCGACTTAGCCGGTGCCGATGATAGTTGGGACTCCCTTTTTAGGATTATGACTTGGCGTTTATGGCGGTGGAGGAACTTAAAAATATTCCAAGGGGTTGTCTCCATGAACCAACGGATGGGCGAGGTGTGGTCTTATGCGGCTATGATGCGCCGTGCCTTGGATGGGGGTCGTCGAGTTGGGGCATCTAGTGTACGTGAGCAACGGCGAATTTCTTGGTCTTTCCCGGCGAAGGGTGTGTTGAAGGTAAACACGGATGGTATCTTCAATCCGTTGGCGGGAATGTCGAGTGCCGGTGGAGTAATTCGTGATCGTTGTGGAACTTGGGTGCAAGGGTTCTTGATGAACATTGGGTTTTGCTCGATTATTGGCGTGGAGTTGTGGGGCTTGTTTCAGGGTCTCTTGCTAGCTTGGGATATCGGGGCTCGTAAGATCACGGTTGAAGTAGACAATAAGAGCATCATTGATATGGTGCGGCAGGAACACTTTAGCTGGCCGCATGGCAGTGTTGTGAAGGGAATACAAGAGGTCTTGGGCCGTTCATGGGTGGTCGAGATCGTTCATGGTTATAGGGAGACCAATTTTGTGGCAGATTTTTTGGCATCCTTGGCGGCCAAGGGCCCGAGTGGCCTTCAGAGGTTACAGAGTCCTCCGCCGAGAGCGGGCATATGATTACAACATGATTTGATCTGGGTATCTCATCCCCGGCGAGTTCTTACTTAGGCTAGGTCTAGCCTCTTTTCTTTGTAACAAAAAAA